TTGCGCCCACTGCTTCTGGTCCTGACACAGGGCACCGCTGAAAATGGCCTGGTTCCATCCTTTTTGCACCCTCCCTTCAGGTATTTATACACATTGATGAGAGTCCCCTAAGCCTTCTCTTCTCCAGGCTGAACAGACCCAGCTCTCTCAGCCTTTCTTGATAGGAGAGATGCTTCAGTCCCTTCATCATCTTTGTGTCCCTTTGCTGGACTTTCTCCTGTAGCCCCGTATCTCTCTTGCCCTGGGGAGCTCAGAACTGGACACAGTATTACAGGTGTAATGAAAATTACAAGGTAAACCTCTACACTCAAGAAAACCCCCAAAAAACCCCAAACCCAAAAACCCAAACACCAAGAGAAGAGGATACATAACAAATAAAAAAATATTTAAATATCCAAAAGCATAGAGAAGCAATACGCTACTATCACACCTCAAGAAAAAACAGCGAAACAGCAGAAATTGATCCAGGTATAGAAAAGAAGCTGTAAGTCAGCATTATATTCTAAGCTGAGTATTTGTGCATGAATGTTCTTTATTGTGTTACTGTCTTTGCTTCTCTGCAAGTGAATGGTAAAAAGATACAGATCTGGCATGACATCATTATGCTCAATTCCTCATGTTATGACAATTCCTCACAGTCTTCCAATGGCAGCAGCTTCTGACCGGTAGCAAGGTGGACTAAATTCAGACCAGTCACCTGAAAGTGAAGGGTACTTTGCTTCTCCTATGACTGATACTCTCTCTGGCTTGTTTTAGTAGTGTTCACAGAAAACAATAAATCAACAAGACAGTAACAATGCACACAATGCAAAGAAGCATTAAACAAAATGCAGGAAGCCTATTCTATGTCTGCCTTGATTTCACTTTAAATTATGCTAGTATAGAACACAGAACAGAAACAATTTAAAATCTCTAATACCAGGGAAAAAGAAAACTGAGCTTACAATGGTACTGCTTTCTTTCAGGTACAGAAGGGCTCTGCAGGACTTGGGGCATAGTATAACTGAGGGTATTAACATCTATTCCCAGCTCACCACAGACTTACTAAGGCAAGTTTGGGCAAGTTACCATCTCTGCTTCATCAGTGAAATAGAGATAGGATTTTTCTGCCTCATAGGCAAAAATTAATGCCTATGAACTGCCTGAATAGTCAGGAGTTTCATATTAAAATATAAAGATTTTTAAACAGGTAAAATGTAAAAGAAAAAAAAAAAACCCTTCCACTAACAAATTCTGAGCTATTACCTAAACCATACATAAAATCCCTCTAGAAAAAAAAAGTATGAATCCATTTAATTACTTCCTTAACTTGTGAAGCTTACTTATTATTTCCTGCCCTCCAGAGTACACATGCAATTCTATACATCTTTCCAGAACAGTAAACAACTCAAAAAGTTTCCATGACTGAACAAGCAGTGGTCAAACGTAAGAGAAGGGCTTGTTTGTGCCTGGGAGCGTGGGAGGTAGAAAGAAAAGAAACAACTAAGACAAAACAGGTTAGTAAGGAAGGCACTTATTAAAGAAAAAAGAGCACTTGCAATAATTTATTTCCTCTTCCTTTGGTTCTCAAAGGCAAGAAGGGAGAAGAGAGATTTTCTTGGAAGATGGAATGAGGTCAAGGAGTTAACTCATACATGTACTCATTAAGACCTTTCCAAAAATAACGGAAAGTATCAAAGGAATGATTTTTTTTGTGGAGGAAAAAGGATTTAAAAGAATCATCCAGACAGTCAAAACTGGTATGAAGCAGAAAATATGGAATGTGACCAACCTGTAATAGTATGATATGAACCCTTAAATGCAGGAGTAGAAACTTTAAACAAGCCATAGTGCATCAACAGAACATGTTAAAGAGGGAGTTAGCATCCAAAAGACAGACAGACAAGGACGTAAGGAAGACAAGTAGGAATGACGCATGCCCAAGCTTCAGCTTAAAATGTTTGGTAAATTCAAAGCACATGAGTGGTAAAACAAGGTTAAGAAAAACAGTTTAATGCAGTATCAGGAAACACTGTAGGGTTGGGGGTGGGGGTCAAAGCATTAGTTCTTCTACACTTGTATTCACATATAGGTATCTGAATAATTAGCAGTTTGATGATACTGAGGTACTGAAATACTAAAGAAATCCACTACACAGTCGGTACTTCGGTATTCAAGTGTGCCAAATAAATGCAAAAATGTAACATGAAAGCAACTCCAAATGCTTACTAATTTAGGAAAACAGAGCCCCCTCTATCCTCCAAAGGAGGCAGAAGTAGAGGGTGTCACAGAGGTAGATTGCTGACATCAGTGGAGTCCTTGGACAGCCTTAAATTTTAGGGTGAACTTCAATCCCATTATAACTAATTCTTGTATCATGTTTTTTCTGTAGAGGAGAAAGTTGTGTAGCATAAGAATAAGAAGCAACTAATTCACATTATATTTAGATAATAAATTTTATGGTGACAGGATGAATGTTGTTTTCCATAGTTTCATAATGCCTACTGTAAAGAGTCCAGGAGCCAATGAGTATAAAATGCAAAAGTTATGATGATCAGCCTACATAGCAACATTAGGAAGGGTTAACCAACACCCCAATATAAGTGCTTTTACACAAAAAATAAAGAATTTACAGTTACTTTGTGGACAAGCCCTTATTCATATTTCACAGACAACACAAAACTAATATACATATACAGTACAGAAGATCTTAAAACAAAATTTTGTAATAAGAACACTTGGAGGTTTGTAAGGTTCTCTTGCTTGCATGCACTATAAAGCTTTTTAAAAAAAACCCCACAAACAGCAATTCACTGAAATGAAAGTTTTCTTAATGCCTCAATGAAAGCATGAAACTGCACAGACCATGACAGGTGGCAAAATATGAACTACTCTCACTTGTCTGTGCATTTTCATTAACACATTTACATATTGTTGATTAGCAAGTACTAGACTCGCACCTACGAAAATAAAAACCTCTTAAATTTATGCTATTGACACTAAGCCTACAATATTCATTTTTCTATAAAAATAATTTTTTAAAGTATACTTGTAAAACAAAACATACATTTCTATAGTTAAGGAAAAAGAATTAATAAAAAAAACCTGTAACATGTGCTACATTAACTCAGTCTTGTATACAACAGAGAATAAATTAAAAGGTAAATTATTGTGAACACTATGCTCTCCAAAGAGAGAAAACAGAGACAAAACTGGATTGTATAAACAGTTTGGCAACCTACCTACTATATTTGAATTCTAGTCAGAAACTTTGGGAGTGACTTCTCATCTACTTATATAAAACAGATGCCAAATGAATTATATTTACTATGACTTTCTCCATGTATGGTAGCTTTTGCATGATTTGGTTTCCTGAAGTTCAATAACGTTTACCAACAGAGTTTACAGATGGCAAAACTGAGACTGAAAAATTGTCAAAACGATGCTCAAATGCTAACTACCAAGTTCCAGCAAGCCAGTAAACAGAGCAGTAAATGTTCTGTAATTACTTTCTTTTCAATGGTTCAAAAAACGTCCCTCTTTTAAGCTTGATGGGTAACTTAACCTCACAGGAAAGAGCAACTTCATTTAGTGAAAAGAATGCAAGGGAATGTAAGAGTTGATAAATATTGCAGGGAAAGAAATGCGTATCAGTCCCCTTGACTTGGTCAAATGCACTCTTGCATTAAATTTGAAATTGTAACCCTTTTTCATATCTTATCATAAAACTTTGGCTGCAACATTGAAATGGACGGCCATGGCAGACCATCCTTCCCTTTCAAGGTGTATCTGTTCATCAAATTCACACCTCTACCTTATCCAGGACACAATCAATCAATTTGGGAATTTAAAACCCAAAATTGTCACATGCAATAAATTCTCATAACTTGGCAACACTGGGTGTATACGGGTTGAAACGTTTTGCTGATACATAAGAGTAGCTTGAGTGCTGACAGCAGTGCATTTACATCAGTGCAGTTCTCCACTCCACCTACTTGTCCCATCGTGCCAAGATGGCTATGTTATTCCATATTCTATTTTATGCCATACTTCATATGGCATATGCTAGCTACCAACTCAATAAGCAAAGTTTAAGGCACATTTTGTGTCTGTGCTTTGATTACAAGCTCCTTGGAACAGCAATTCTCCCTAAATGTCTGAAAAACATTTTAGACATTTTGAATACTTTCATAAACTAGTATTTTTAGCAGAAGGCAATCCTGTGAGATATTTCAATTCTTTGTACATTCTTCCTGACTATACAATTCTATTATCCAATTTACTTTTGTCTAAGTTGAAAGAACACACACAAAGATGCATCTAAGGGACAGAACAACAACAAAAAAGTCATGGCCACATAAGAACAATGAACTGTACGGTGATTAGCATTTTTAAAGTGCTATTTTTAAACATACAAAATGAAAGAGATGGCAAGTGATTCAAAAGGGAGTTGAATATGAAAGTAAGAGAGATAAATGGACTTAGTATTCCTAAATACATGATGAAACAGACAGACTGATAGTACATTGTCTCTTCCTCTCATTAAAGAAAGAAAATTGTAATGCATACCCTAATCCTCTTAAGTTCATCACAGGACCACACAAAGACTGACACAATACATATTCCAAATACATTAGCAGATGCTGTTATTCTTTACTCCAATACTGAAAATGAAGAGTTTTGATTTGATGATACTAATTTAGAGGACTTCCACGTCTCTTTACACCACTAAGATATGCAGGGCCACAGGCCACTAAAAATTTTGTATTTCACCACAGAATAAGCAAATAACAGCTTCTTACACCACTGTTTCAATCATGACTTTTTCATTCTGTGTTCTCTCCCTGTTCAGGCCTAACAGCCCATTCCCCCCTTGTAAAAGCATGGGCATTGACTGTAGAAACTCAATCTCATTTTTGTTACTTGCAAGCAATAATCAAAAAGAGTAATACTGTAAGATTTCCATTAAAATTTCAATTATTACAATAAATACCAAGTTCGGTGATGATCTAGTCAATAACTTAAAAAAACCCAACATTTTTATTTAAAATGAAAAAGAGTAACAACATACCATATTCTAAACCTTCCACCTTTAAAAATCGCAATTTGGTCAACCAGTTGCTGATTAGGTTCCATTAAATGTTAATACAGTATTACACTTAAATTACCCCGCCTAGACAATTAACAAAGAACCACTAATCTCAGTTCAGCCACGTGGCCAATATTATTAAAATGCCCAAATTAGTCTTCTACTGTGTCCCACTTGGAGTGCAGCTTCTCAGCAGCCTGCCAGGAGCTGCTGTCCTTCATTGCCTGATAATGCCATCTGACAATGGCCTACAACGCCTTTTACGATGAATTCAAGTGCTCTGAAGAAAGGGCTCACAAAAATGTGCATTTCTAGCAATCTGCAAGCAGACAACACGCCTTCAGCTCCTTTGGTTTTAATAATGTTCCCTTTGGAAAGTGAATCAGTTGGAGACTGTTCCAATAAAATAAAAATAGTAAGTCATAGTCTAGACAAGGCATAAACCACTGTCTATACAGTTTGTGACAACGTCCTTGTTTTTCGTTCTTCCACACTTTTTTTCCAAAGACCATGCAGTGAAGGCAGTTTGACTTTATCCATATTCTTACTGTAAACATTAAGAAATATACCAAGGACAACCAGTAAGCCTGACCACACGTACCTAAAGAGGAGGGAGAGGAGGAGGGGAAAAGTTACCATTAGCACTTTATCTGTAGCGATTACATAGCAATATTTGTGGATTAAATAAAGTCCCTACATTAAGGAGCAAAGAGTTTAAGGGAAAAAAAAAACCCACAAATTTGTGGACTCTGAGAAAGAATTTGCTTCAGTCTTTATTATTACTATCCTTCCACTCTTCCTCTTCCTATCCTGGCTGGAGAGCTTATTAAGGTACATTTATAGTTAAACAGTAACTAAACAGTAGCTGTTCTTTCTTACATGAATAAAGGAGTCCCGAGGGGTTTTAGTATGTTTTTCCTTCCTATGGTTATGGGAGCTATACTCTCTATTACTGGTCCAAAACATGTTCTCATTCAGTGCCTTATATCCATACTTCCCCATGTAAGCACATTTTTGTTTCAGGTCTCTGTTATTTTAAGCCTCAAGATTTTTAGCTGGAGTAAATGCCATTTGGGCATTTGGCTGTAAGCTTTGTTCTTAAATCTCCAATAAATTTATATGTAGCAATAAAATTGAATACTATTTTGTTTCAAACCAGAAGCAATTAGGATCAACGTAGCAACTTAGCTGCATTTTTCAATGTAAGCTCTTTCTTGAAATTAAAAAAAGGGAAGAAACCCAAGCTCAAAAATCTTTCAATTTAATATATCAAGGTAGCAGAAGCTTGCAGTTATTTAAAAGGGCTTGCTAAGAACTCAAACCTGAGCTCATAGAAGGGGAAACAATAATGTAATGGAGAAAACACCTGCCTTTAGCCAAATCTTCCTCCACAAAGAAAGTACCCAAACAATTTATTAAGTAGCATAAGCACTAGATATTATGTAAGATTTTTCTTCAAAAAACAACAAAAAAATGCCAACACATGGAATAGCTTTTCTTCCAGACCTTTAGAAAAATGGAAACTATCTTCTGTAGCATGATTAGCATCAAGCCAGTCAATATCTACAGCAGATGGCCAACATTTGTAGAAGATATGAAATGAAAAGCATTAAAGCCTGAATATGATTAATTACTGTTGTTATATTTCCATGATCAAGAATGTAATTTTTTATAAAATATATAAAACCCCATTTAAAACTATAAATACTTACTGGAATGTGAATGGCTTTGCAAAGAACAGAAAAGAAAGCACAATGGTCATTGCTTTTCTTCCTGTTGTTACTGCAGAGGAAAACAAGTATTTACTTCTTTAAGAATTCAGTTACAGCAAAAGAACATAATAATGTCTTCAATATTAGTAGATCTCATTACATAATTGTCTGGCTAAAACAATGATCATCCTTGGTGCAAATGCAGACTGCAGATCATAGATGCACCATTCCAGTGCAAAATGGTGCTAGAACCATATGCTATTTGAAACAAGTGCATTGCGTCAGCAGTATCAGTTCCAGTCACAGCATCGGCAGCAGAGAAACTTCCAGAACAAGACTTGCTATTTAATAACTTCACGCTAATCAATTCACAGTATCTGAAAGCAACAAACTAGTTGCTTTCACATCAGTTGCTAGTAACTGATGATATAAATTAATCTGTTAAAGCAGAAAAAAGTGGTATCACTATTTGGATACACCAAATCTCTTGCCATTTCCACCTCATGTTATTACAGTTCAGTGGTGTTTTGGGCTTTATTTGTAAGTGGAATGGGATCAGCATCTTGTCATTCTTTTGAAGTTACTGAGAATTTACCTAACAGTGCAGAGAAATACAATTTGGTTAGAAACCTAAGAAACCAAGGATATCTGACTTCAACGATTAGGCATTAGGTGGTTTTCATCAAAACCATTATAAAACCTTCTTCTACATGTGACCTTATCACTAGAAAGAATCAAGGTAGTTAAGAAGAGTTGAGAACACAATTCTGTTACCAAAATGGCAGTAAACTATCTGTTTGGGTTACTCTTAACTATAGCTGCAACAATTATTTGAACAATTTCAATGCTATCTGCTGTGAACAAGAACACAGTGTTGCTACTAAACTGTGTTCTGGGACACCTATACAGTTGATCACTGAAACAAATGAGTAGAAGTTACAGAAAATGTTTTAAAAAAAAATAACAATGCAGACAGGTGTACAAGTTTAGCTATGGAGGTTAAGGGCCTGAGAAGGTGTTATATGATAGTGCAGGCTTCTCACTTAAGAAAGACCCCAGTACAATTGTCTGCACCAGACAAAAACTATGTTTTGTGTTAACAGAAAATGTTTTGCTTACCATGAAGTACTTTTTACTATACCATACTGGAAAGCCTTACTTGTATAACTACATCCACATTAGTCTTACTGTAACATACTGATAAAAGGAACCAAAGACTACTGATGTATTTCCATGCTGTTACAGCTAGTAAAGCAAGTTTAATTCTCCCCACAAACAAATATTTAAACACATGTTTTGTAGTGGAAGAAACAGCCTTCACCATTGCTGTATCTGCCCCAGTCTCAACTTTTTAGTAACAATTTTCTTTACATTTTAAGAAATTTATGTGCATCAAATAAAATGATTTTCTGTTACATGAAAAATTAAAGGAGAATGAAAAAGAAAATTGAGTTTTAATTAGAAAACAGTTTACAGATGAATAATTTAAAAAATGGTTAAATTACTTCAGTTTTTCTAATTACGATTATTTCTGTTCTTTCAAATCAGTTATTAATTAAAATATTTATGTAACCATTTCCTTCTAAATTAAGTGCCTTTTCTTCTTTTTCCCAATTAAGTCTGATAATTTCTCATTCTGCTAATAGAAATACAATTTTCATTAAACTCTTTCACCCCTCTCCCCCCCAAGAAGGGGGAGGGTGGATGGGGGGTGGGAGGGACAGTAATGAATGTGGTGTTCTTCCAAGGCACAATAAACATTTTCACATTGCTACAGGCAAGGCAGAAAGGGCTCAAGTGTTAGGATTGTCAAGGTCAGGCATAATAAAACCTGGGAAGGGTTTGCTATTCCACAGCATTTTTAAACATTTTTTAGCTCAGTAAGACTTTATTTTTTAAAAAAAAGAGCTACTTTAATACATGAACCAACCCTCTCATCTGGGCCAATTTCCAGTCAGGAGATACTAAACTTTGTTAAAAACAGAGGTGAAGCAGAAGTGCTCAGAAGCAACAATTAACAGGAGAGCAGAGCATGTAGTCCTCAGGTCAGAAAGCAACTGTCTGTATTTTCCTCTCCACTACTGCGAATGAAGTAGTGCATGACCTGACAGAAACCAGCTTTTAGAGGCAGAGGGAAGAGAGGAAAGTAGCTTCATGGCATCTTGCTACACCTTCCCCTGCAAGGCCCTTGTGACTAACGTTTGTAGTTTTAAGAAAAGGTAACGTGAGGAAGGAACGAGCCTGGTGTAACTGTTCTTGACAGACTACCGTAATGACTATATAAATGACAGAAGCTAGATAGGCAATGACTGATTTTTGAAAAATACACCCAAGTTACATTTTAAGTTTGGAAGCAGCAATTTTCTACAAACAATTTTATGTTCTACAGCAGTTGCATATAGCAGAGAGTAATAATTTTAGGAACAGCCTGAAAACAGGTGCGCAGGAAGATTCTGAAAAATGATCAAGACTTTTCCTCTAGTGTTGTTAGATACATAAAAAATATTAATGCTATAATTAACTGCTGTTAAAATGAACAGCAGGGTCATATCCCCTTATTCCAACAGCTGAGGATATTCTGATATGTAAACACTTCAGTCACTTGACTGTTTTACAACTTCATAATGATACAGGTTAAAAGCATTCACTTGTAATACAGTTATGTCATTCGGCTGTAGCTAACTTTGCCACACTCAGGTAACGCTGCATACTAAAATATGCCATGGTCTCAAAAATACAGATGCAAACCATGATAAACTAGTACAAATAATTTCTAAGCTGCAATTTCTGTCGCATCTGTCTTCCTAGCGATTCCTTTGATTTAATCCTTTTCTATACTGCTTCTTCTATTAAGCATCTCAAGCATAGTATCAACAAGGTCTGAACATACTTCCTTCTCTGAAACCATACAGTTGTCCTTCCACACAGAGTATGTTTAGTTTTAAAACTTTTCATTGTTTCTAAGGCACACAAGCCAATGCATTAGTAAAGACCAAGTATAACCATATGACATTACTTGCTAGCACAGTGCTGAGACTCATCGCGCTCAGTGGCTTCCTCATTCATAGAGAGCCAGGCAGTCTCAGCTAGTAGGATTTCAATCTCTCCACATGATTTTTCCAGATGACTGATTACTCAACGTGAAGAGTATGTCCAGTTGCATACAGGATAAAAGTCAAGCCTGAATAACCATACAGGTTGAAAATCTGTAATGGCTCTGCCTGCCTCTTGTTTCATGTCCTCCTTTTCCTCATCCATCACATACCTGGAACACGTCAGCATGGATAGGTCTGACTTGCATTTATTGCTAGGAAATTATTATAGTATTAGGCGGAACACCACATCACAGAAACTTTTTATTTGTGTGTGAACTATCGCAGGAGCAGACAAGATGGCATTTGGTGACTTTCATAGCCTGGAGAGGATGCCAGCAACTTTTGACATACTTCAGGGACTTACATTGCTCCATATTCACATGTGGCTAGCAGACACACCAGTGAGTGGCCCAAATCTTTTCAACATATTACTGATCAGAGTTCTTTACATTTGTTTCTTCTGACATGGTTGATACAGTCGTATGCTGTACTAAGCATTTAACAGAAAACATGACTGCTTCCATTTTTTGTGGGACAACTACATCATAAGTCTAGAATAACATCTGAAAGACCAGCCAGTCTGCTTCTGTCATTAACAATAGGTTTGTACCTGTCCTGTGAATACACAAGTTGCAATTTAGAGATAATCCAGCAGCTGTTACACAGCCCACCAGATGTTTATTTAGTTCAAATCCTGACTTCAATTTAATAAAAAGAACTGAGGAGACCACCACAAAAGTCAGAACTTGTTCTGCTTGAGTTTATTCTGAACTGAGTCTGGACTGTGCATTTAACATGGCTGCAGCAGCATTCCACTGAGAGTGTATGGACATTCAGAAGCTTCAGGGGAGTTCTTCATAGTTTTTTGAGCAATACCATTTGTTGGGATTCTGTGCTTAGAGATTATGACACTGCCTACTATGCCTTACTGGAACATCCTTATTTTTCCTTACGTGTTTCAAATAATACCTGTCTTTTCCTTACACCTTGCTATCCATTTCCATTGCAATTCCTCTGTTTAGAACACTGTTGTTTCTGCATTAACACACAGCACAGGCTGTATGCACAAGATTACTTAATAGGCTCTTCAAAGTTGAAACTGTGGCACAGAAAGGACCAGGAAGCTCTCAAACACATACTACTAGAGAAGATCCATGCTACACAAGCCAAGATCAGTCAGCAAAAGAACAGAAAAAAAGCCAGAGTGAGAACAATTCTGAAAAGCTCTGTCCTAAATAATAGGATTACTTCATGTTTCTATACCAAAAGCAGTAAAGATATAATTTGTTCATACCTGTTACAGCCAGAAGGGCACCAAAGATTTTAATCAATGCCAGAACAAAGGATATGCCAAAATACCCAGTCAGGGAGAAAAGGAATGCATAACCGTAAGTCTGAACTGGATGCTGCAACAACAACAAAAAAAAGCCTGTTAGGAAAATGTAAAACAAACCCTGAGGTATTGCAAAATGACATAAAACTACAGACTTTAATCAATTGCTTGAGCAATAATAAGCTGTTCAACAATGCATTCATGCAAAGATCCTTATTTAATTTTAGTTAAATAATGGAAAAATAATAATGAAATTATAAGCTCATAAGTCTGGTCCTGTGATTCTGTTTTATTTTTTAAAACATTACCTTACCTTATACATCAAAGACTGTAACAACTTGCTTAATGTATGAATTATGCAAGTCAACCAGTTTACATGATGAAAATACAACTTCAGAGAAGTGGTGAGAATTTCTAAACCATACAGAGCAATGTTTTCCAGTGAAGTTGTTCATAGAAAAAAGGAAATCTTTACACCTACCTTTGAGCAAAATGTTACTGCAGGGCTTAATCCACTAGTGCATGTTAATCCAAATAAAATATACACAAAACCTATTGAATAGGAATACAAAACCTAGAATAGTTTAAGAGAAAATAATTACCAGGTGATACTATACAAAAGGACAAAATTAAATGCTTTCAAATGTTTGGCCCTATTAATATGTTCAGCTTCTCAGAGTCGAATTTGCAGTGTTTGGAGATATTTTTAGTAGAATTTCTATAATAGCTGATGTACAGTGAAAAGTAAATAATAACTGTCAAGAGACATTCTTCCTACACATGACTACATAAAAAAAAGTTTTGTAAGCTAGTTAGTTAATAATATCCTGAGGTCAATGTTAGCTGTGGTAAACCCTTCAAATTCAGGATTTCACAGTCTAAATAAAACTTCACACAACTATATAATTAAATTGTTCAAATAATATGTTAAACATATTTAATTTTCTGCTATTTATCCTGCACAGTAAAGATCCATATTACATTAAATGTGCACAGAGTAACACATAATCACTATGAACTGCCAGAAAAAGTGTCACATAACTTTCATCTGTGTCACTTCAGTTCATGTACATGGTACACCTGCCTTATGATTACAGCATACAAGTTTTTCAATACATGACCAGCTCTGGCCTAGTTCAGTACTCAGAACAGACTATAATCAGCAAAGAGGTAAGCTTTTCATTTTGTCTATACTCTTATTTAACTCATAGCTTCATACAAAAGCGACAAAAGAATTTTCATCCTATCTTTTCCCATGTAGAGACAACAACAGAAGCTGGAACTGCCCATCCATACATCCTCCCGTGCAGTGGGAGGCATTCAGGTGTTTGGGTAACATTTAGTGGCCTTTTCTTGTGAAAAAGGGGAGACAGTGATCAGTACCATTCTACACATTACCAGCTAGAACACGTTGATTTACTACACTTTCAAAACTTGTTAGTTACAGGCCTACTTCTTTTGACACAGGTTTCATCAATTATTTTCTTGTTATACTATCTCAATTATTTGCAAAAATGAATCTATTAACAATGGGTAACAATGCCATGAGACAACAGAACACTTATCACTGCCCTACAATAAAGTAGGATGAATATATACTTCAAGAGCAGAACTGCTTTCAACCTCTGAAAAAACAATGACCTAATCTTCAGAGCTTTTATTTTACAGTATTTATACACACAAAAGTTAGTCTCTAGTTCTTAACTTGCCTCTGCATCCAGCTTTTCTCCCAAACTACCCAAAGACCTCACTTTTCACAACGAGGAATGACGACCACATTGCTAGCTCCTTGCTAGGCAGTGTGATAGAAGTCACTTCCTTACAATCACACACAAGGCAAAAATCAGGTGTAACTTTACAGAGCAGTGGTTACTCTTTCAGCCACAAGACATCTTTTCTCTTTTCACAATTGCTTAATTCAGGGCAAGTTCCAAATTCAGCAACGAAACAGAGATCCTGTGGATGACAGGTTCCTTTTCTATTCAATTTTATTTCTGGATCACTGTCCATTAAGCGTGATCTCCAATTCAGAATACCTCTTAAATTTTCACCCACAGTCTCAGGTCTAGAAAAATGATTTCCAAAATTCTGCTTGTACTTCTGCACTGAAGTCTCCAAACAAGATCCCGAAGTATAATCTCTAGGACTCAAACAAAACTTTTATATCCTTAATCACTACACTGATTCTCTACAAGTAGTATGAGTATACAATATGAAGACCAACATTTCTCAGACTAACGCAGAATAAAAAGCAAAGTTATGGAGATAACAGAAGCATCACAGGTGAGGCACTTAACTGTCAGATGACTGTTGGCAAGATGCAAAGTGGGCAAGAAAACAGTTACAGATTGTACTTTGCTTTGGATTTCAGAGATTACAGCTATAGAAGGCTGCACTCGGTCAGGTGAGGTCCATCTAGCTAAGATCTCTGCCTCTGGCAGCAGTCAACAGTGAATACTAAGAAAAAGTACAAAAATAAAAAACAAGAATACAGATACACTTTTCAGGTATATTCTTCCACTTTCTAGAAACTTGCTGTTCAAACTTCTTGAGTCAACCTAAATTACTTTCAGCCATAAATGAAGCTTCCTTCCAACTAATTTTCTCTCCATTTATGAAGCTATTCTCATAAATGAGAAACTAGATTTTCTAGTTAAACATCAAATACATGCCAAATATGCAAATTAAATTTCAGTAATTTTTTACTTGTGGCATATTCGAATAATGTCTGTTATAATAAAAGATTTTCTTGTATTTACTCTGTTTTAGAGAAAAAGATGCCAAATTCGAACATAAGTTTTGTCTAAAAAGAAAAAAAAGTCAGACCATACAAACAGATAATCCACATTCCAAATAAGTGTATAAAAAAATACTGAGCAAGACTTTTTCAAAATCATGTATTTCACTGAATCAGGAATACACACATTCACCCACTCTGAAAGTCAGAGTTTTACTGATATCAAAAGCTTAAAAAAAGGCTGCCTCTCAAACGCTAGCACACTCTAGAATCAGAAGTCTAGCAAAGAGAAACAATGTGTTCCATGTAACATGTTTATCTATACCAGAAAAACAGTATATATTTTTCAGAGATTAAGTGCATGATCATACAGAAAACACTCCATTGATTTCAGGCTGCAGGGTAGACAAAGAAATTGTTGCTAGAAATAAGTGTTTTTGTAGATGCAATATACATCTGAAGTTGCACACAGAAAGCAGGGCCCCTGAAAGGTTAAAAAACAAACAAAAAACCACCAGAAGCCCACAAACAAACAAACAAACAAACAGAAAACCCCAAGAACAGTACACCAAGAGCCCTTCTTTACATGCGCAAGAGAAAAGCAGGTTAAGTTTCATGTTTTGTCATTGTATGCCTTGTCTATGATAGAAAGTGTTCTTTTAAAATTGCAAATCTGGTATTTACCATTTCTGAATTAGAACCATTGTGCAACTTCATAGCTTTTTCCTGTACATTTCCTATAACTGCATCTGCGCAGAGGGCAAGGGATATTAGGACCACACCTAATATAAGAAACAAACAAACAAAAACCCATTCAGAATATTTATCAGCAAAGCAGAGTAGTGAGGAAAACCACCCTGTACTTACCCTGAAAAATAAAATAAAAAAAAAATCTCAGGAACAGGAAAATAATAGTAACCCCCCCTTGATATCATATTCTAAATGTCAGCAAAACTATTTCATTATACCAGTACAACGCAGTGTCCACTTCCCCTCCCTCCACCACTTAAGCCCCGAGCACTGTGTGTCTCTAAGCTTGATAGGAACATCTGGACATTGCTGTAAAGCTAGCTGTAGTTTTTGTAGTAACAACAATGAATTAAAGTCAATTGCATTTATTGAGGTATTTTTAATGAAGATAAATAACTAGAGAACATACTCTTTTGAGTAGTTAATCCCAGATTATTTCTCCTGACAAAGGTAAATAGGAATGTTAGATGTAATGATAAAACAAATGTGAGGATTCACAGTGGAAATCTTTCATTGTTGAAATACTAATTTTTAAAAACTATAGTTCAGGTAACCCCATGGTTTTAGGTTACCATATTTGTTCACAACAAAGTCACTACAGAGTCAATAATGTAATCAGCTTTCCAATAACAAAAATTAATAACTCCTTATCCATGCCAGTCACAATTCATTTCCCAACCTCCAAATGTCAATTCTTTCATGACTGTAGCAACTGTTGTATTTAATGTTGCAAGAGTTAGAAATTAATGATGCACATGGGTTGAAATACCACTTTTCTTAAGTATACAACATTGCAGAAGATATCAGTCATCAAAATCATATTTACTGTCTGCTCTAGTCTTGGTTCCTTAAAACATCGTAAGTGTCAGGGAAGAATGAGGAGTGGAAGACTAGAAACAAGCGGTGTTGTATTTTCTTAACATTATGTTCTTACTATCAGACGTGTCAAAATAGGCATTCTGAAGGACCAAATAGAGTGTAAGCTCCTGACAGAGAAAAAAAATCCCAGCTCCTAGGATTTTCAGAATTGAAAGATTCAACATTTTTAAGACCAATGTAGTTTAAGGTGGCATCTCCTTGGCCAACTTCTGGATATATGAGAACTTCCAAATCAGCATTTTTAGCTTGGGAACCATTTCCTTTCCCAGGCTAGACTTATGCAACTAAAGCAACAGAAAGAGACTCTTCATTTTTCAAAGTTATCAGGCATTGGAAAAGATATGAGTCAAAGGAAATGACATGACAACCTGAGTAATACTGTTTATGCTAAAGACCACAGCATAGACATCTTAACTCCATGGATTCAGCTCTGGTCCAAAGGTGTAACACCCTCTAGCTCAGCAATACAGAAGTGATCTGCAGCAAGGCTAAAGTGACTGAGTATGTCATATGTGTTCTCTATCTTCATTTGTGTTCTCTATCTTCATTTGTGTTCTCCATCACACTGGTTCCATCAGCGCTTAATGGCCCAGGCACATCACTGGACAAATACATGGGTTCAGTACTGGATTGAGATGAAAAGGTTTGCTGGAATCTGAAGTGCAAGTGCGCACAGAAAGGAGAAATGTTAAGGACAAGACACGTGTTAATATTACGTACATGCACAGTTTGGAGTATGAAGAGAAGAATTGTTACACTCATTGTGATAGCACCACACCTGCCAAGCAGCAGAAAACCATGAACGAGACCAGTAACGTTACGTAATACGTAAAGCACGAGTAAAAATGATTGGAAGAACTGGTCCTAAGTTAGTTCTGAAAGAAATTAAATCTGAAGGTCTTGCACCAACGGAGTTGATTGAAACACTAAATTACATTGGTTTTTACACTATTAATGTGATGCCTGAAGTCATTAAAATATTAACACTGCTTACACATTGGATATTTACGTAAGTTCTTCAACAATAGATTCTCACACTTGCAATCCCCACTGTGCAAATGTGTTAGACTACTGAGTTGGTTGGAGTTTACCTGCACATTAAGACCTGTTCAATATTCCACATTTTAGAAGCCTGCTATAGAAAAGAAGACACAGTAGAGGTAACTAACCAAGAATATCATCTTAACAACAGTGAAGCTAAGGACAAAACACTTCAGACTGCAAAAGACTAAACTGCACCTGTACAAACAGTCTAGGGTGAAGGAATTTTCATGCAATTGATATTTTTACTGTATCTTCACCAAAAATAGTTAATTTCCACTTACACCTGTAATGCCAGAACAGTGGAAGTTCCCGTAGCATCAATGTTTCAAGACCGTCTCCTTCTGCACACCCTTCTCTTCTGGTTTCTCTTTTGGAAGGCCTGTATCTATTATTCACAGATATTTAGGCTATCTACCACTACCTCTCCAATTTGATAATGCTAGGAGATGCTCTGAGCTCTTAGCACCAATTCCATCTTGAAAAGTATACTTCTTCCTTAGTTACAAATATGTACCTGTTCTGGCAGAAGAGAGTTTCTGTTTTCTTGGCTGACCTCTTTCATGTGTACACAGAATCTGTGTAGATTCCTTTTTTGGCCCGCAATACTGAGATTAGATTTCAAGAGCAGGAAAAAAATAAAGAAAAAAAAAAAAAAAAGACTTGTAAAGTTGTTAATCCAGATAATATTTTACATCTGCTCATGCTCCATTTTTAGTATTAGCATATGACAAAGATTATGTGTTTTGTTTAACTTCACAGCATAGTTTTGCTCTCTTTAGAACTGTGAAATGTAAACAGCTTGTTCTTAACAAGTGAGCAGAAGTTCTATGAAATCATGACAGCATCCTACTAGTTTGCATGGAAACAGTTCTACATAAATGTGCATAAATCACTGCAGCAAACTCAGGAACTTAGGGAGCAGTAAGCAGGCAGTAACATAAAACTGCAAGTTTAGAAAACAGTAATTTAATTTGCTGGTTATGTTTTTGAAAGTTTTAATTTCCTTAAACACTTTGTTATTTCTTTGAAGATACTTTATGAAGATAAAAAATTAAATTCTGCCTCTCCACTTGCAGTTCTTATTCTGTGATTTACATCAAGAAAAGTGTAATTATTCAAAAGAATATGCCATTTTGCAGAGTGAGCAATGTTTTTAATAATTCTTATCACTGGTTTTACACTGCAGTAGCTACACATTTCTGCAATACAAGAAATGTACTGATTTTTGGAAGGAAGGGACAATCTATCTCCAAAATTCATCCAAGAAAAGGAAAAATTCCACCCTTCCCAGTATGAAAAATTTCTTCTGGTTAAATTAAGGAGGGTGGGAAAGGGAATAAAACGAAACAGGCAAGAGGGAATAGAGAAATACAGAAAGAACCTTCTCAGAAGGTGAGCAGGAGAATTTCCAACCACCTTCCTAAGGGGAGATCCAGACTTTTGAATTCTAGTTCTATATTCTGTTTTCACAGAACTAACTTCCTCCAAATGGTAGTGCTCTAAGCTTCAATATATACAGACTTATTTGAAGTGTTCAAAATAGATTAATAATGAAAGACAACCCTGTTTATTCTCTGAAGACATTTAAAGTTTTTTATCTTGTGTTTTGCAGATCTTTGAGGGCATCAGGACTTTGCTACATTTGCTGCACTTCACCTTATCCCATTCAGTTGAAGAATCAACTTCTCAAATCTTTTCAGAATTAAGTCATAGCACATATTTAAAATAATTCAAATTTTACAAAAGTAATATATTAACATGTGAATACACTTAGAGGTTATAGTCAAAAATAGCTGTAATGGTAACACATATCTATGTATCAGAAACACTAGAATATAATTACATGCATACCAACATCATACGGTACTCAAAATATGTATTTTTGTCAGGTAGCCACGCAGTTACACCACACATAAATACATGAAATGCACAGCAAGTTATATAATTCACAGATTTTTGTAATTTCTTCCATTACCAGTAGCACCAAAGTTACATTAAAAGGCATGAGAATTAATTTATGAGCAAGGCAAAAGACACATCGAGTTTAGACAACATCACAAATTGATCATCACTAACACTAGATGAAATAATATTTTGTGGGAACAAAAACTCTTGTTCCTAAAAATAATAATAAATTCTCAGTTTTAAGGAAAAAACTTCTAAATCAGTGGCTCCACCATTAAGACATGAAGGTTTCACACTGAACGTCTGTCATAACAGTTGCTGTAACTCATCTCAGAATTTCAAAAGAATATACTAAAAATTGAATATTCAAAAGTTTTCAAGGTTCAGTATTAATCCAAACACTGGCCAACTAAATAATATGGATTTTACGAATAACCAATTCTCCCTTGTCATTTGAGAAAGAAATTCAGCTAGGTTTTTAAACCCAAACAGGTTAAAACATTTTCTTTGCTTCTGACTTTACACAGTATAGAAAAGTTAGAACGTGGGCACTCCAGCTAAGAACTACAGCAAATCTAAGTGAGACTATCAATTAATATAAAGTAAATGGTTCTGAAATGTAAAAAGACTTAAAGGTTTAACTAGAAAAGACAACTAATCTTTTGAAGTTTTAAAATGGTCAAACTGAATTTTATCATGTTTATTCTGACATATCTACTGGGAAATATTTCTTGAGAGTAAGCACGAGACGTTTCAAGCTAAAGGGTAGAGTTTCCATAAATTTTAAGAACCTAAAAACTAACACTTAAAATAAAGGCCCCTTCTGCCACAGACAGAGTTCTGCTAGTGCAAAGCTATAATAGAACCTGCATTGTCCATATGATACCTGAAAGCACTCCACCAAGAACTCTCAGAACTTCTATGGAATGCTTATTGTAGGGGAAAAAAGACATTTTGTTAAACTCTAAAATATAATATATCTTTACCTGTGAAGTTGAAGTTTGGAGCAACTGTGCTGTCAGCTAAAGTAAACCATATTAATCCAAGACTCATACACAGGGCAGCAGACACATCTGCAATATTATAACGTTTTCCTACAAAAGCAATACAAACAACATGAATGGACTGTTAACGTGCTCAGAATTTCATGTTTATCATGTTCAGCAGACTAGAAGGCAAAGGAAAAACTGTTCCAATGTCATTCTTTTACTTAAGCAGAAGACTTAATGCTCTGGCCTTTCATGACTGGAATTAATTTCTTCTAAAACAGCAGTTCTTAACATGGAGGAGGATCTTAACAGGTACTATCTGATTCTTGTGGTCAGTTTTAGTTTTATTCCTAATGACATACAGCACATTCTCAGTGACAAAAAGCGCATCCTCCCTGTCAAAGCACTACTCAGCAACTTCAGAATAGCTTAGACATTTTCTTAAGATTTTTCCCTCATGGAAAACATTTTGACTGCCTTTATTGATTAGAGAGAAGTCATTCCCAAACACTAACAGATGATTTGGGTACTTTTAGAACCCTACCTTGTCCCTTAGCTTGGGAGAGATGGGATGTGAAGCGGGGTGGAAAAAGAAAGAGTAGGGAAATGAAAAGGCAGGAGTTCATGTATCTTGTTTGAAATAACATATTCCTTTCCCAGAAGCTGTACTTTCAATATAAGCTTCCAAGGGAATTTTTTTTTAACTGAAAATTTTTAATAATAATAATAAAAAAATAAAATCACAGCTCTCTTATAACACAACATAAAGTTTCACAAAGCTTTAAGGGAATACCAGTCTCTCAGCATTACAATGATACAAAATGACTCCTAATAAAAGGTAAATACTGTGCACACATGTGCCTATGTAAACTTGTAAACTCCTCTGAAAGTTCAGCTTTCTATTGCAACTAGAAGGCCAGAATTAACCACAGAAACAAAAATATCATTCTAGATTCTGTTCCACAACACCTGCCCATGCAGAGCTTTACTGACTTAATGAATCCTTGTGTACTGAACAAATAGAAACTTTTATGATACACTTAAGTCTTCTACATCCAGAAATACTGAAGGATGTTTATTTACATAACTATAGTCTCTATCTGTCCTCCTCCAGATCCCTTTTTCTGTTCTTGGAATATGAACTATGACCTCAGGACTAGCCAAGGACATGTAAAGTTTAATCAAATATGTATCATTTAATCAAAATTTAGGAATTTTAGTTAGGAATTTAGGAATCAAGCTTTTCAAACAAGAGTAGTAGGGGGTTTCTTCACAAATCATGGCTCGATTTTTTTTTTTCTTCTATTTCAAGTTTTCCATTTCAGTACTGAAAATGTTTCAGTTATTAAGTGATTTGGTTTAGAAAACAAACTTACATTACTTAAAGATTAAAAAAGCCTGCATAAAAATGAAGTTTTTCAAGTGACTTGTACTTCTTTTTCCCCCATATTTTCTGTTCATCCTCGAGGGTAGGATGGACCTGCAGAGGGACCTGGACAGGCT